TCTTTATACGCTCGCCAACGGACGTATGCGAGTGCGGAGCTAGCGACGGACGTAAGCCTCAGGGGTCCCAGCGCGGCTGTAAGCAGAGCGGTTGCAACAAACCCACATAGTAACGGACCTAACCGGTTCCAAATGCGCATAAAAAAACATAGATAAAAATCGCAAAGAACAATACGTTAGTCTAATTTAGGTTCTATTTATAATTTTGCCCTGCATTACCCGGTCTAGCTGTATGCTACTAATGTTCCCACCCCTGGGCCTACCGGTGGCGTCCTGCTCAACCATGGGAAAACAATAGCATATTCGAATGCCTAGTAGGCTACGAAAACCCTTGATCAGGCAGAAAGAATTCAAGGTCAAAGTCCCAAAGCGAGTTTTCCGGCACCCCACCCAAAGTTGAGGACGTGACGCCCGCGTCGTCGTAATACGGCACAGGCTCAGTGCCAGCTTGTGTCTGCAGCAGATCGTGACATAACTGAAGGCTATCCCTTGCTCCTTGTGCAATCATGAGCTCACATGGTACGCCTTCTTCCATAGCTTCGGTTTGTGCCAATATCATACTCAAAAACATGTGAATCTTGACATTGGTGTCGCCTTGGTGCATCCTCGCCACCGCCAAGGAGATCATATCCCTCACGGCTTGCTTGAGAAGCTCTCGGTGCTGGGCATTGCGATGGAGCGTCCCCTCTCGAAGCTGCACTGAGACTTGCGAAAGAATCTCGCGGCCGATGATAGATGTTGCATACCAGAAACCCTCGCGGAACAGCCCCCCTCCGGTAGCCATGATTCGTGAGAAACCGTCGTCTGGTTCGGGAGAGACGATGGCCATAGCAACGTCTAGGCTAACTTTGAGAGAATAGTAGAACAATGGGTTTGCCTGCGCCTTGCTGGCAAATAAACAGTGTAGGGGGATTAGAAATCGGCGTACGAAATAATCGATCAGATTCCTGTGGAATGGGGTCATACCAGAGTTGATGTTCTCTTGGCCGAATTTCCTGTATGCGCAATATGAATCAGTCACTTCCGAACTCAGTGAAAGCGCGTCCTGGTAAGATAGTTCCGCTTTAAGGCCGCCGAGTAGCTGGAGAATGCGGAGGCGTGTCGGCATCGAGTCGAGGAGGATAAGCTGTATTGAGGAAGTAGTGTAGGTGCTTCTCGGATGGGGCACCAGCTCGATAGTCGACTCATCAATCTCATCGTCGTTGTAGTTTGAAGGTGCTTCGGTATCAAAATGGTTTAAGGAGATTATGGGCGGCATTGCCGAGTCTAGGGACGACTGTATTGCCATCTCGAGCACAGTAGCCCATAACCGCCTTCGGAGTTCAGCCTGTAGTAACGACATCGCCAGGAGGTGTTTGGGATCGTGATGAAGCCCTATCTGCATGGCCATGCGAATTACCGACCCCATCGACACCCAAACTAGTTCGCCGCCAATTGAGAAGATTTGTCGTGCAAGGATCACCAAGCAGTAGACCTGGAGCCCGCTAACGTCAAGGCGATCTTTTTCCAGCGGGCCGGAAAGCCATGCCTGAGCAGCATGAACCCATTGTTGTACCTTTTGTCGTAGACCCGTGGTGGCATTCCCATGGTCGTGTAGACTTGACCCTATGCTAATTACCAGGAGAATCTTGAGACACTGACTGGCCGTGGCACTCTCTGGGTTGTCCCAATATCTCTGGTACTCGGAACGAAACGAAGGCACGTGAATTATCCGATACACCGACTCAAAAGAGGTACAGTAGAGATCTACCATGGTGTCTGCCAGCTCGCGGGAGGGGGGGCGAAGATCAAAGCCAGCTCCTCCGAGAGACTTGCTTGGTCGCCCCGTCTTAAGACGTTTTGCGAACACTTTAGATTTTCGTAGGAGATCCTCAATCTCTTCAAGTAGAGATTCAATCTCAGGCCCGTAGAAGGATTTCGGCTTGTCGTCGTCGTCTGTTTCGCCGTAGTTAGCGAAGAGGCCGCCGCCAGCCGCGGAATAGCAAGCCACGATAAGGTCAAACTGAAGTAGAAGTCAGTGCAAAGTGGCAGAGGGACGTAACTGTAGGCCGTACCTCATCAGCCATACCCACCCAGTAGCTCCATTTTAAGGTCCTTGTCTTGTAGAGGCTGACCCGTGTATCTTGATGCACCGGTTGTCGATCAATCAACTCCCCCCCAGGCTCAGAGTGTGCAGGTACGGGACTCGTTGCCAGAGAATTCTCGAGATGCTGTATCCGTCGTAAAAGAGCATGTACACTTGGCTGCCCATCTTCGGCACGGGTGGTTGGTGGGGTCTGAGCTGTGATGGCTTCTGTTTGCCTCGCGGGTGTTGGTGCTGGTGTGGACTGCGCTCTGGCGACGAGAGGCCTGGACGGCACTCTGCCCTCTTCATTTACGATTCTATGTGTGCGAGACTGTCGGCTTTGGGCACGGGAGGATGGGTTATCAACTGGTGAGGAGACTGCTGTCCGGCCCTGCGTACTGCTTTGGACGGGCTGCAGCTGGTTGGAGGTCTCGGGCGCATCTCGAAAGACCTTGTGCACACACTGGATCGCGATGGAGACGCAATGTGAGCACGGATCTTTCCTGTCGCACTTTATCTTTCGTCGCCTGCATTCCAGGCACGAGAATGCTGGTCTTCGGCGCCGGCGAGGCCTCTCCATTGGTAGCGTGCTGGAACTTGAAGATGCGGACAAAGACGGCGCTGCTCTCGGCCGTAAGAAATTTGGCCGGGGTGCGGGTCCCACCTTAAAGCCGCCTTGGTGGAGCCCCCCGGCTGGGTTAACCCACGTGATCCACCGCTGCGTACACGAACATTTTTGGCCAAGACGGTGGGCGGTGGCAGTAAGGAGGGTCAATTAGGTGACAATGGTCACTCTTTGGTCATCCGGAGCATTTGCGACAATCGGAATGCTGGAAGTGTGCAAAGTTGGCCCCAAATCCCAGGGCCGAAGCTGCCGTCTCGCGCCCCTGTACGTGTTGCAAAACAATAAGACTGGCAAGGCATTTCTATTTCTTTACATAGATGCTATCAGTTAGCCATATCCTTAGTACTGGGTGAATGGCCTCACACACAATCTCTCAACTGATCGCTCCAAGGTTCGCGGCTCCCAAGCGGAGTTTCAAGTAGCTGGATCCGTGAATGAAATCTCCAAGAGTTCTGAGTCTAGCAGAGGCGTATAACTAAACGTTGCTTGGACCCACTCGTCTAAATTCGCCGTAGAGAGAGTGACCGTGTAGACCTTTGAGCCTCCAATCGTCACGGACATAGAGTTTGACCCAGTAGCCGATTTGATATGGTAGTAAACCGGGAAGGTGTAAAGCTGCTCAGCTAGGGGTGGCTATTGTCTGCGTGAAACCAAGAATTGCTTCGGTGGGCACGGTTATAGTGGCGTAGGAGGAGGCCGGCCCGCAGTCGGTGCCACTAGATACTGCGATACTACCCTCACCATTAATTCTAGAATAGTCCCAGTCTAGAACGATTAAACCAAATGCCAAACTAAAACCAGGGTTACTCAGTGTATTGTCGGTCGAACATGTTGCGGTAGCGGTGGCGGTGGCAGTGACTGCGAATGAAACGCTAGTGGCCCGGGTAGTCGTGTGGTATATGCTATACAATATTTTTAAGACATTAGCAAAAACGGTCGTAACACCGCTTACAGTGGCCCCGCTTGTCACAGTAGAAGTCTCCGTTACGCTCTTTGTACGGTCGACAAAGCTGTTGAGGTGCTTACGCTAACTATCACTGTACTATAGACGTTTTAATTCCTTCAGATTAGCTTATACTAGAGATAATGTAGATCCGTTATATAGTCTTGGATTATTCACTGTGCCAGCTAAAAGGACCTACGTAGAAGTGGCCATAAAGAAGTCTAGTAGGCTGACGGACAAACAGGCGCATACACAAGATGCTCGTGATATCGGTGCAGTTTCTAGAACCGAGGGCACCAAATAGGCTGCTCGGCAACCCGCGAGGGAGGAGCAGAGCGACTGTAGTTTGAGTAGAGGTAGTATTTGCAACAGTTAGTATTAATGTAACTGCCGCAATTGTAGTAGTGATGTAACCTATGTGTATCGGCAGTCCTACCCCTTATGCGGGCGGGTGTTACGGCGTAACACCAGTTTCGGAGAGACCTGATTGGTCAGGTGATTGCTCACAAATGCACTTTCCGGTCAGAAACCATCTGGTTAGACACCACTTTTCCTCCCCACCCCAACCTAAGCCTTATAGGCGGGTCTATGACCTAGCAGCACGATGTTTTCCTATAATTTAATCCACTAAGTTGTTGTATGCTGTATTTGTATCCTCTTGGAGACCTAGAGCTAAGAGCGTCACTTGCGCGTAGAGGTACACCAACTTTCTAGGGAACAGCTGGAGAGCATATAAAGAAGTGTACTATTAGCAGCTACTGTCTGCTAGTTATTAACAGCTATAAAAGCTATAACTTACTTTATTTCTAGTAATACTATAAAAATAATAAGATTATTACTATTTACATGCTTTTTAACTTATTACACTTTTTATAGCTACTTAAGGTAAGTTGCTTTACTCTTTTTAAAAAAAAAGTATATAGGCGCTAAGCTAAAAACAGTATACATAACTAAATTACTTATATTATAAAAATACAGTTTCTACTATGCTTTAAAGTAGCTTATAATGCTATAGTTTCTTTTAGTAATACTTAAGAAAGGTTCTAAAGCGCTAGATTAGTTCTTTTTAATCTATAATAAGTTATAATAGGCCTTAATGTAAAGTTACACACTCTATTACTACTACTTTTATATATAATAAGCCCTAGTAGTTATAACCTCTAAGTAATACTCTAAAACTTAAGTTATAATTAATACTTATAAAAATAAAAATTTAAAAGCATATAAATAGTTTACTAACTTTTATAGTTAAGGCATTTAAGAAGGTTTTTAAAAAGGCAGTAATAAAAACTATGTAACATAAATTGTGGAGGATAAAATAGCCTGGCAGTAGCTGTTTAGAAGATTAGATAAAGTGACTCTGCTATCTAAGAGAGCCAAAGGCTCTCCTTATATACACCAAGCTTTGGAACATAATATCTCCTAATCCCGAGCTGCGTCCCAGGCTCTAAGCCCCCAGTCCCAGGCTCCGAGCCCCAGTCCCAGGCTCTGAGCCCCAGCTAAGGCTCTCAGTATACGCGACACACCCCCCAGGTGAGCTGCGCAGCAGCTAACCTGCGTTGAGCGTTAACTTGGCTTGTTGGAGCAGCGCTGCGCGTTTACCCTGTGTTTGTGCTTGTTGCCCTAGGCAGCGCAGGTCACGTGCGTGCTGTGATTGCTGCAATAGAGGTAAATAAATTCTGCTGCTTCTTAAGCTTCTCTTCTGTAAGTCCTAATAACATGCTGCGTGTAAGTTAATGCTTTTAAGAGCTCTAAGAACAACTTTAAACCTGTCTGTAATCTTTGCTAACGTGTGTATGAAGCTTAATAAAGCTAAACGAGCCGCTCGCGCGCGTGCCCTGCGGGGCCGCGCTGCCCGCAAGCCCGCAGCCCCCCGCCGCCCTGCGCCTACCACCGCCCGCCGCCCTGCGCCCACCACCCCCCGTCGGCCCGCGCCCCCCGGTCCGGTCTCGACTCCTCGCCGGCCTCCCCCTGGTGCGCTCCGCGCGCAGTCCTGTCTGGGCTGCATAAAGAGTGCGCTCGCGGGGCGCTCCAGTGGGGAGTGCCATAATTCCGCCACTGGCGGTTCGCGCTGCTGGCGCTGTTCCTCCGGGCACAGCTGCCTGCCCCTATAAGCCCTGTAGCAGTGTGTGGGGTGATCTAGCTTTTTGACTTATTTGCAGTCCCCCCGTCGCCGTCGTCTATGCGCGGCGCCTTGTTGCGGCGCTCGTCGCGGAGGACGAGCGGGTAAGCTTCTCCGCAGAGATCGTGTGTCATACCCTAGATCAGACTAACAGGCTATAGGCTGCGTCCCGGCTTTGGCCGGTGGTTCAAGCTCTGCTCGAAGAAGATGTCGTGGAGGAGGTGGAGGAGGAGGAGCAGGGTGTCGTCTCCCCTGGGCTCCTGGCGCGTCGCCAGCGCGCTAAGGAGCTCTTGGGTGAGCTCGTCAATCTCCTTATGGTTTAGGCGTTCTGTGTTTTCTGTGTTTTCGCGCATCTCATGTATTAAATCCCTGCTCAAACTCCATAGCATAGGGGAGTGTCCCTGCTAGTAGATAGCCCTCTTGTTCCTAGGCAGTGTAGGGATGTCCCTACTATTAATAATTAATGCTTTCTCCTCTTAGAAGCTTATTTGCGTGTCTTTAAAGTTAAGAAGCTGCTTAAAGTGCTTAAATTACTGCCTTAGTAAGTGCTTTGTAAGCCTATCTGCTAGCATGTTGCTTGTTTTAATATAGCGCACTTTAAAAGATCCTTTTACGTGCTCCTAGCGCAGCCACATGTTCTGTATATTAACGTGGCGCAGGCAGGTAGTTATCTAGGCGTTCTCCTCTACTACTAACCTAATTGTCTGCTAGTTGTCACAGTAGATCTGCTATAGTGTGCCTAGCTCTAGGGTAAGCTCTTTAAAGAAGCGTTTTAGAGCTAGTAATTCCTTTATAATGTGCGCTAAAGCAAGCAGCTTAGCTTCTGTTATAGACATAGTTACTGTTAGCTAGAAAGCTGCTTTCTATAGGATTAGTCCTCTAAAGAGTAAGATAATATATCTATAGAATAATTATCTAGTCTTTATATAGTTAGCAAAAGACGCGTCTCTACACATAATAAGTTGCGCGCCTTCTAGTGCTCTGTATTATATGCCTATATGCCTTATGTAATACAGGTACATAATTGCCTAGTTTACTGCCTAGAAGTGCTGCTTTCCTAGGTTTGTTAGGTAGTAGGAGAGCTAGGATGCCGCAAACGCCACGTTAGAGCGCACTATAATTGCGGTGTAAAGTGTTAATCCTACGCGCTCTTAGTATTCCTTAATCTTATGCTTTATTGCTAATCCCTAGTTGCTTGTAAGCTCTTCTAATAGTAGGGAAGTCCCTAGAAAGAGTGCGCTTTTTGTAAGGTTAAACTTCTTTACTACTTTCTTAATATACACGTTGTGTACTAGCTAGATTATTCTAGCCTTTCTATTTTTAATTATTTTAATCTTTAAAAACTATTTACACAGCCTTTAATCTTCTAGCTTATACATTTCTTTAATTACACTAATTAATTAGTAAGCTTTTAACTTATTATTATAGTAATAAATATAGAGTATGTTATCTACATAAAAGAGAAGTAAGATATAGTAATTATAGTTAAAAAATAGGCATAGCTTCTTTTTAGATAAGATAAGCTTAAGCTTTTAAAAAGCTTATAAGAGCTTTTAGTACTATAAGATTAGCAAGTTGCGTAGTCTGTATAGGGCTTAGAAAAGTTTAACATATATGCTAGGCTTTATAAAGCCTTCTAAAAGCTTGCATGTTACTTCTAGCTTACCTTTACAGTGCGCGTTTAGAAATGCGCTTATAACATTATATTACCTAATCTCTAGGTTAAATTAAGCTGCTATTGCAATTACTGTTTAAAAGAATCTAGCTGCAAGAGTAGCAGCATAGGTTAACTAGAGTAAGTCCTTGCTCTAGAGATTACTGTGTACGCATATGCAAGCTTTGCATTTAGTAAAATACCTATCCTAGTTAAATTTATATATAAAGACCTACTTTAGTAGAAGCAGCTTAGATGTTGCTTTAGTTTACATAATTTCTTTTTAAGTGCCTTTTTTAAGCAGAGTAGCTATCTTTTTCTATGCTGTAATCTTAAAAAGATCTTTATATAAGTGTTTATATAGATTTTTTTATTTTAAGAGTTTCTTTAAGAGCTTATAAGCTCTTAGTTAAGGCTGCCTAAAAAAAGCAGCTGTAGAAAACACTATGTAAAGTGTTTTAAGCGCTTTATTATTATAAGTAATAAATGCTCTAAAGAAGTTTATTTAGAGGTGCTTTAGATTAACTAGAGCTAGGCATATGCTGCTCCTCTCTAAGAGCGTTGTATATATACCTCTAGTTTCTGCACCCCTAGGCTTACCTAGGTTATTAGGATCTTGCCTCTATATTCTTTAGCTTATGCGTGTAGCTAGTCCTTAGCTCTTTTTATTATATGTATATTTAAAAGGTGCCTTACCTGCTTTAACTAGAGCTACAGAAGACAATGTTTTAGTGTAAGAGGTAAAGGTTAATTTTTTAACTAGTAAGTTAGCTATTTAACTTAATAAGCCTAGTAGATCTGCTTCTTTAGTTAAGTGCACTTACTAGGGATCACCTGTATGCTTGTGCCTACTCTGTATAGGGCGTGTTGTAGAGCTATCTGTAAGCTCTAGCTTAGAAGTTAGCTCTAGGGTAATAAGTGCTATATGTTTATTAAGAACTATGTAAATTCTTAGTAACTTACTTATTATGCTTATTACCTGCGTAGTTACTTCTACCTTTAAGTGCTAATTTTCTAGCTAGCTAACCTAAGTTTTAATAAGCTTTTTAGTTTTTACACCTTTAAGCTTACACTTTTAAGGCCTTTAATTTAGTATATTACTTTACTACTTATCTAACCTTTAAGGTAAAAGCTTAAAGGCTTTTTTTATATTATAAATCTTACTTTACTTATTAAGAATTTTAATAATCTTAGAGGCTTTTTTTTTAGAGAATTAGCTTATTACTTTTATTTTTATAAAAGTGTGTCTTATTAAAAGCTATATTTCTTATAGTAATTACTTAGTTAAGTAATAGAACTTATATTCTGTAGATATTTAAGGCTTTATAGCTTACAAGATATTTTATGTAGCCCTATAAAGTTACTTTAAAGCTTTGCTTCTAACGCCTAGCTGCTTGCTCCTTATTAAGTAAGTAGGCGTAATAGCTGTATGCGTAGGTCCTACTCTAATTAGGTCTTAGATTAGCTGTAGCACTTTTTACCTGCTCTAGCTTATAGTATCTAAAGTAGTTAGTAAACTACGCGTCTAAGACTTTATTTAGTAAGCATAGGTTATGTGCGTGCGACAGGCTTATATTGTACAGCCATGTTGCTGCGTCTACTACTTCTAGCTAGAGCTTCTTAGGAAGTCCTGCGCTGCTTCTTATCTTAATAAACTTTATAATTATCTTTTATTTAGCTTTTTTTATAGCTTTACTTAGCTTATAAGTGTATAGTAAAAAGCTTTTAATATTAATGCTAGATTTCTTTGCCTAAAGCTTATACTTTAACTTTCTATACTAAGAGAGTGTGGCAGTGTTGTTGTCTTGCTATATTTTGCTAATTTAGAGCTTATATTAATTAGACACTATGCTTTTAAAGTTCTTTATTACTTTCTAGATTTCTAAGAGTGTTTTTGCCTAAAAAAGTATAAAAAGATTTTACTGCTGTATTTATTTTTAATAATTATTATCTATAGAGCTCTGCTGCGCCCTAATAGCATATTAAACATGTTCTATGCAATTCTCTAGAATAGGTAAGGAGCTTGCTTTTTTAGTCTTTTTAATATAACCTGCTTAGCGTGTGTTGTTGCGCAGTGCTTATAGTGTACTTGCTTTATACCTATTATTTATATGTTTCTTACGCTTTTAACTAGAGCTTATAGAGCTTTAGGGCCTAGGTGTTCTGCGCGCATATGCTAGAGCTTTTTTAAGTCTAAGTGTAGGTGTAAGGCCAAGATGGCGCTTACGTGCGACAGGTATATATACTATTCTGCACCCGAAAATCAACGTTAGTTGATTATTCATACCTTTTAGTTGTATTGGCGGAGTGGTGCGGAGCCCTGTCCTTACAGTAGGAATATAGTCTATAAGCGTTAGCAATCTAAAAGCACACTTTACACTAGTAAGTAGAAAAAGACAGCTTTATATTTAATAAACATAAGGTTATGTTCTTAGTAGAGTGTTACAAGTACCTTATTCTTTTCTAGTATACCTATGCGTAGTGTATAGTTAAGTTCTAAATACTATAGTCCTTTTTCTCTTAAATAAGCTTCTAAGATAATATTAATGTAAAATCCTTTTACTATAACTACCTTTTATAGTGTAAGATCTTCTGTGCGCTCTCTCTATGCTTTATTTAACACTTCTCTAAGCTTTTTAGTTCTTGTTCTCTAGATTAGAAACAACTAGGTGCTAGCTTCTACTATGTGTAAACTTTAAGCTTTTTTAAATAACCTAGGTACAAGCAGCTTTATACTGTTTACTAAGTGCGTAGCACTCTTATTGTCTAGAATTATGCTTATAGAGAGTAGGTAAGTCTTAAAATTTATAGTTATGTGTATCTCTAGTTTTACTAAAAGCGCTAGATTAATAAGTGCAGTAATAATGCTTCTTAGAAATGCTAGCTTGTTTAATTCTTTAATAGCTTTTAGAGCAGAGAAGGCTTTGTCTAGAATTACATAGCCTTTTTTAAGCAGTATAGCTTTTACTTTCTTATGCTGCGCTTACTTAAGCCTTTTAAAGATCTTCTAATGTGTAGTTTTACTAAGCTTTTTTAGCTTTCTAGTAACTGCTAACATAAAGTCTCTACAGTCTGCTGCTTTTTATAGATAAAGGGATTACCCTAAAGCTCTGCATAGGCACAGGTGGCCTAATTAGGCTAAAATAAATTAGGCTAAATTATTATCTAATTGTCTGCTAAGTGTTGTAAATATACCTATGCCTTAGTTGCTTACGCGTAGGGAGTGCTTTTAGAGCATTATTAAAAAGATTTTACTAATTTCCTAGATTATTAGAGGTTCTTTACTAAGTGCGCTAGCCTTTATAACCCTCTAGTGTATAGAGCGCGCCTAGTCTAGTGCAAGCTTTAGAGCTAGGGCGTCTAGGAAGTCTTGTGCAGCTAGCTAGCCTTCCACGTTAAGAATTTTATAGGTCCTTGCCTTAGTGTACAGGAAGTGCTACTGCTAGTACTAAGCTTCTAGGGTTTGTCAGATTGAAGCACTGTTTCTAGGCTTCCTGAGATGGATGATGGGTTTGGATATGATGTATGGGATGATTAATTGATTGTATTAATTGTCCTTATTTATTAATCCTTTTTCTGCTCTACTTGTGTTGCTCGGCCTTTTGTTTTGCCGATCCAAGTCCCTCGCGCACTTGCCCTATGCGCGACCAGCTTGCAAAATGCTGCAATTTTCTGTAATTTGCTGCAAACTGCTGCAAAATGCTGCAATTTGCAGCAACATACTGTTCAAGCTTATT